GAGGAACGCACCTAGTCCGGAATCCATTGTATGCATCATCATTTCCAGAGTAGGACCGTGGACTTGGTACATTCCCCAACGGTCCTACTCTGGAAATGATGATGCATACAATGGACTCCAGACTAGGTGTGTTCCTCTAATTCTTCCTACCAATATGAACATGTTGCGAAAACAAGGTCAAACAACTTCTCTACTCATATCATTGTGTGAAAAATTCAACTACCAGTCCCCTTATCACACTAAACGAAATAGGATGAATACATCTAATATATATATATATATGATCTACTGATAGTCTTGCAAGCTTGTTTTTGAACGAACAAATAGGCCTGGTTCATCGCGAACGCTACATCTACCCTCTGACCCAATGCTTGCCGTGACGATGTAGCGAAGTGGTGACGTGTCACCACTGAATGCCCATTACCCGTGGATGAGACTGAAGTGAGGATGGACCTTCGAACTAGCCCGGATAAGTTATCTTTTAAGAAGACAGAGCTAACAGAAACGGAATTATCTTGTGAGCCCAATTTACTATATTATGGTAGAGGCTGCATAGTTGGCTTGTGAATCATTTTAAATAAAATACAAGAACAATAATGCATCGTTGGTTAAGGCATTTTGCAAGAGTTTGCTTAATCATCTGCTTGCTATGAGGGACAGTTTATTCCAAATCCTGGCTATAATTTACTATCTTTGATTTTCTTTTCAACATTCTACTTTTCATCATTCGTGTCGACAGATCATGGATCGAGTCAGAAAGGCAGCTGAAGTGTCAGACGGACATCATGGATTTGTGATGAGTCACAGTTACGCGGGTGGTACTGGCTCCGGTTTAACTGGTCTTATAATGCGAAGCTTACACGATGATTTCATCAAGCCGGAAGTTGTTCAAGTGCCCATTTATCCTTCTCCACAGACCTCCAATACGGTGGTTGAGCCCTACAATACAGTAATGCATCTCGACCAATCTCTACTATTCTCCGGTCTGGCCGTCAATATGGACAACGAGGCAATCGGTGATATCTGTCGCCGCCAGTTAATGCATTTACAGCCAACCTTCACTGTCATGAACCAAGTGATCGCCCTGATCACCAGCTCCATGTTCAGTCCGATCCGATATCAGAACACTCAAGTTGCCAGTCTGGCTGAGATCTCCACCAACCTGGTGCCGTTTCCTCGAATTCATTTCCCTGTTGTTCGCCATGTTCCTCTTCTGCACACCTCGAAGCTTACACACCATAAAATGAATGTCGAACGCTTGACAAATGATGTTCTCAGTTATAAGGAGCAGACTGTCAAATGTGACTTGATGCAAGGGAAATTCATGGCTTGCATGCTAACCTACCGAGGCCTGGTGAGCCTGCGTTTGGTCAACAAGGCTGTCAACAACCTAAAGAGCATGGCACACATGGACTTTGTTGAGTGGTGTCCCACTGGATTCAAAGTAAGTATTTATCGAGTGTTCTCATTAAAATGTCCTTATGGCACTTTCAATCACGGC